TAGGAAAATACCCAATTGAGTGTGTATGTTATTCCCTCCTTAAGTCAAATCCAAGGAGAATAAGATTCACTCATTCTCCCTCACCTTACCCCATTTTCCCCTTCACTATAAGAGCCTTTTCTTTTGTTTTTTGTGAGATAATTTACCCCGTTCTACCTCTCCCTTTCTCCTTCTCCTACTATAATTCTCTCTCACCCCTTAATTTTATTCTCCAGATATGACCACTTCATTTACCCTAATACTGACAAAGGTCTCATGAGTTAACAAATATCATCTTTCTATGCAGGAATGTAAACAGTTCAACCTTAATAAGTCTCTTATGATTTCTCTTTCCTGTTTAGCTCTTCATGTTCCACTTGAGTCTTGTATTGGAAAGTCAAATTTTCTATTCAGTTCTGGTCTTTTCATCAAGAATGCTGGAAAGTCCTCTATTTTACTGAACGTTCATATTTTCCCCTGCAGGATTATACTCAGTTTTGCTGGGTAAGTGATTCGTGGTTGTAATCCTATCTCCTTTGCTCTCTGGAATATTATATTACATGCCCTGCGGTCCCTTAATATAGAAGCAACTAAATCTTGTGTTACCACAACACTTGAATTGTTTCTTTCTGGCTGCTTGTAATATTTTCTCCTTGACCTGGGAACTCTGGAATTTGGGTACAATATTCCTGGGAGTTTTCCTTTGGGGATCTCTTTCAGGAGGAGATTGGTGGATTCTTTCAATTTCTATTTTGTCCTCTGGTTCTAAAATATCAGGACAATTTTCCTGGATAATTTCTTGAAAAATGATGTCTAGGCTCTTTTTTTGATCATGGCTTTCAGATAGTCCAATAATTTTTAAATTCTCTGTCCTGGATCTATTTCCAGGTCAGTTGTTTTTCTAATGAGATATTTCACATTGCTTTCTAATTTTTCATTCTTTTGGATTTGTTTTACACTGTCTTGATTTCTCATAAAGTCACTAGCTTCCAATTGCTGTATTCTAATTTTTAAGGAAGAATTTTCTTCAGTAAGCTTTTGGACTTCTTTTTCCATTTGAGCAATTTTGCTTTTCAGGTCATTCTTCTCCTCATTGGCTTTTTGGACCTCTTTTGCCATTTG